TCGGCATTTCCTATTTAATAGAGTTTACCGAATCACTCTCCAAGTAAGCTGTGCCAACTCACAGTCACTTCCACAGCGTTGGGCGAGGCTTGGCCTGGCCGCCTGCTATCCCAGCTGTGAGGGCCAGCAGGTGGCGGGTGTGTTGGTTAACATACCAGTCCCGCATGGCTGACCACTCCCAGACTTGTCAGCCTGAACATCAGGCCAGGCACACGTGTATGCATGCCCAGAATCCTGGGACAGGATGGAGGAGCACTGTGACAGGGCCCCATCCACCACAGACAGTGATTTCTACTTTCACTCTCGGTCTCTCTATAGCAAGTGCACAGGCCCTATGGCAAACTCCTAAAAAAAAGTGTGACCTGCTAAGTAAAAGTGGACAGCATTGTCAATCTGCATCTGTTTACTTATTGAAATTGAACATCTCGGTACACGTGGCCTGCGTAATTTCTTTTTTACGAACTACCTGCATGTTATACTTATTTTTCCACAAGACCAATCAGCTTTTTTCTCTTGAGTTGTAAGCGACGTCTAAACACTAGCGAGCTGGCCCTTTGTCTACCAGGTACACTGTGAAATACGGCATCCTCTCTTGAGTTTCATCCGAAGTAGCGCTGAGGTGTGAGTATATGTGCCGTGTTTTTGAAATCAGTTACGGGTTGTTTTACTGTATTTAAGTCTTACATCCATCCAACATTCAGCAGTCGTAGGGTAGGGACTCAGCTTTGGCTGTTTTTAAATGGCTAGTCATTTCTCCAACACCTTTATTTGATAATCTGCCTTTCCACTGATTTGAGATGCAGCTTTATATGCACTAAGGGCTAGAAATAGTAGGCAGACAGACAGGTAGGCTTCTGGACGGTCCGTTCTGTTCTAATGAGCCATTCCTCACCACGTCCCCACATCCGACGTGGCTAATTACTCAAGGTCACGCTGTGTTTTGATACCTGATAAAAGTACACCTGATTGCACGGAGCTTCACGAAACAGTGTTCCTGGATGTTTTCCTGGGTTGCTTTTCTCCTTTGATCTTTCCGGTGTTTTTTTGTCATACTTAAAAATAAAACGCCCCGTTGGGATGATATTTCCACACCATTCTCCATCGCCAAGTCGTTGTGAGTTTATCGGACCCTAGTTCAGCGCTCTGCTCCCGGCCAGCCCCAGACCTCCTGTTCTCGGCTGCCAAGGGAGCTTTCCTGCGTGCACATTCAACCGCTCCCATTGCTGCTGAATGGCTTCATCCACTTTCCGGTCTTTTGAGGATGAACTTGGATATGTCAGCGTGATGTTGAGGCCTCATTGGCTCCTTCGTCTGGATTCCCACCACCTCTCACATCCCTCGCCTCCACTCCCCACCCCAAGTCGGCCCACAACTTCCTGCCGTGCCCACGCCAAAGCATGTTCTGTGTCTGTCCTCGTCATCCCCTTGTCCCTGTCTGGACTGCCCGTCCCCTCACTTTACGCACACCCTTCCCAGGCCCTGTCAGCTCCCCTCCGACACTCCCGGCCCTGCTCTAGCTCCTCTCCGTGTGAGATGCCTGTCCTTCGTCAGCACTCTCGTACCAGGCTCTGTGCAGCCAGGACTGGCAGGACCGTATCAAAAGTGCCTGTCGTGCGTCCCTCTCCCCGCCACACGAGAACTCTCTTCAGGGTGCTAGCTGCTTCTTGATTCCCAGAACTGGCCATAGTCACAGTTACACAACAGTCCCGTCGCCCACGTTTGCAGAGCAAGTGAGTCGAAAGTGAAACAAGCGGGGCCCGCTTTCTGTCTGCAGGGTTCTGCAAGGTACTCGACCGCTCGGATAGAACCCAGTGTCAACTAACGTGGTGTCTGTGATGGGGAGGCGGAGGCTCTTTTCCTAGCAGGTAATCCCAGGAAGGATTGGAAGTTATGAAAACAGTAAGACAGAGAAACAGGAAATGCCAATAAAGGGTTAACGAGCTGGCTGGGGTGGGGAGGGCCGCTGACCCTCCGTCTAGCATGGAGCTTTTGAGAAACTCTGGAAGTTACCTCAGAGCTGCCCAGCACGGCCGCTGCAGAATGGAGAAGTAGGGCGTCCACCCGCCGGCTCCCGTCCAAGGGTGTCTCCCCTCCAGGTTGTGCTCATGCACAGCCCAGCCTGTGCACAGGAACCTGAGACCCAGCGCAGAGAGAGACCTGGGCACAGGCCTGCCATGGAGCTGTCGGCCTGCAGGTGAGCTCAGAGCGAGGCCACAGGTGTGGTCTCTGCAGGAGCCCCCCGGCAACCTGCACCCAGAAACTCACACGGCATGTGAGCTGTTTGAATACTATTTATGGGCAACGAGGAACGTTCTCTATCCCCTTCAAAATATCTAGGGCTACAGACATAGAGGCTATCGGTCCAGCGTCGCGGTGGGCCAACACCCCCCAAAGGAAAGCCGTGTGCTGCCAAAGTTCAGTAAATCCTTTCTCACTGTCACACTTGGATTTGCTCAGGCCCGTGACACTCAGAACTTCGCTTTAGGAGGAGTACAGCTGTCTCACCACCTTTGCCTAGACAGCCCCTTAGCCGTGGCTCTCCACAAGGTCCCTCGTCACATGCCTCACGACCGCAGTGACACCCTCTGTGACTCAGCACACTTTTGGGCTACACCGACTCTTATTTCCAAAGAGGACACCGGCAAGCGGGAACCCCTCGCTGTGTGGTCCCGGGCGGCTGCTGCACCCTGGCCTCCCTGCCTGCCCCAGGGCCTACAGGGAAGAAGGGCACACAGTCCAGCCAAGTCGACTACAAACCTGTTTGAAGGATCCAGAGGTCAAGTTAATCTGAGAAAAATAACTTAGTGAATTGTTTTAAATTTCTTTCTTCTGAAAGAAAAAAAATATCACCCCCAACAGAGTATTCATGCTGTAATCCACCCTCAGCCAAGCTGGCCCAGATCCCAGGCTGAGAACCGGGACCTTCCCCAGCCACGTCCGACTGTGGTACTGCGTCTCACCCCCTGGCCCCAAACTCGGTGAATTTCGATGCAGATGTTGAAAGAGATCATTGCAAACGGACTGATGTCCACAGGTGACACTCCAAGTTTAATAGTATTCATAGGTTGATCAAAAAGACTCAGCAGGTGATAGATCAGACGTGTGCGGATGTGCAGCAGAGCAGGCTGAGACTCTGGCTTCCCCTCCCACAGGAACCTGGGCTATTTCTCACCTCACCTTCAGTGACTCCTGTTGGCTTTATAAGATTAGCCGAAGCGTCACTTCCTATGCTGACTTCCTACGACCGAGGTAACAGAGAAATCACAATCTCGCTGGCCTGAAATAACAGGCTATTACGTGATTAGTATTACGTGATTACGTTACGATGCAGAGGTTGGAAGCCACACGAGCCTCCCGCTGGCGGGGCTGCATTTCTGCTGGGGCTCCCGGGGAAGCCCATGTTCCAGCCTTTCAGGCTCCTGAGGCCACCTGCATTCCAGGGCTGAGGCCACCTGCATTCCAGCTTCAGAGCCGTTCATGGTGCATCTCCCTCTTTGGTGACCTCCACCTCTGACCTGTGTCTTCTCTCTCCACCCCGAACTCCACTGCCTCCCTTGTGATTGTGCTAGGAGGTCTCATCATCTCCCCACCTCAAGATCCTCATCTTAGTCACAGCTGCCAGTGCCCCATTGTCCTGTCAGGAAACCCTTTCACAAGCCCCAGCGGCTTGGATGTGGACATCTTTGGGGGGCTTCACTCAGCCGACTCTGCCTCCTCTTCACAGTTCTCTGACCGCTGCAGTCGGTCTCCCTTCGTCACCCTCTGCTGGATTCGCATCCCCAGTGTGTGTCTCTCACTGGGGAGTCTTTCCAACCGCTTTAAAATTGGAAGTTCGTCTTCCTGCCTTTGCTGTTAGATGCTTGGTGGCAAACTGGTGTCTTTCACCTACACAGTCAGGCAAGTCTGAATCTGGACCCGGGACTTCCGTGGTTTCCTCCCGAATAGAGGAGGAGAAACTGTTCGGCCCATGGGAAAGAAAACAAAGGTAGCGCTGGACTCCCGGTCCACATTTCTGCTCTACTGCCCCTTAGAGAGAAGCAGCCCCAATGTCTGCTCCTGCCCTGTGACACGGGCGTAAGTACAGTACCCCTCCCACGTTTGTTCCGAGAATGAATGGATGGCTTAGAACAGTGACTGGCAGAGAGTCATGCCAACGTTGGTGATTAGTCCCCACTGGGAGGTTATTGTACGGATTAAAGGTAGCAGGTGGAGTCACAGCATGGCATGGTGTATGCGAAGCCACCAATGCGTCCCAGCTGTTGGCTTGTCCTCATCGTCTGTGCTAATGTAACCGTTTAAAAAGTCAAGCAGAGGGAGGGAAATGCTCCACTTCAAAGGTAAGGACTTAGTGAAATGTATCTACTTTGCATTAATAATCGGAGTTATTTCAGGTTCTCTTATTCTTGGGCTTAGTAAGGTCACAGGTTAAAAGATACCAAAGGCCAATAGTGTTCCAAAGGGTGCACTTCAACTTGTTAGTTCCAGTGATAAAATAATAGCAGTAACAACTGTCAGCTTTTAAATATTTCAGGGAGTCTCCAAATAGGGTCTCATGGGACCTTGATGTTTACTTCAGACAGCATCTAGCACTCGAGTGGTTCTTTGGTTACTCTGGCTTCCCAGAGGAATGTCACCCAGTAGGAATTTAGTCCTTTATGGCATCGGACCCTCAAGTGTTGCTCATTTATTTCCAAGGCCAACGGGGCCATTCCACTCAAATAATTACAGTAAATAGAATAGAAACTAGTGGAATCATCTTCCGCTCTCAGAAGTGAAACAACAGCACAGCGGCACAGCATCTCAGCTGTTCCAAGTTCCTCAAATAAGTTTTACTTTTGCAAAACGAGCCCTGTAACTTCCTACACTCAGTGAGCTGCGTTATGAACAACATGACTGCCAGCCACGTTTGTTGTAGTTGTTTAAATATGTGGAAAAAAAGAAAGATATCGACCATGTATTACCTGAACCAAGATGCCAAGCTATCTAACTTGTTTCTCCAGGCCAGCAGCCCCACCACAGGGACAGCGCCCAGGAGCCAGTCGAGGTTGTCTGTGTGTCCATCGACCCAGGACATCTGCAGGTAAGTGCCGAGCAGGGGTCTCCTTCCGTAGCTTTCAGACCCGTGCTCTGTGCTCTCGCTTTGTATTCTGAGAATGTGCGGCTCTTGCTTCTGTCTTGCGTTGTCCCTGAGCAATTTATACTGGCTTAATGTCTTCTCTCCTTTAGATCATTGTCCTCAGTTGATCTTTATTTGCCAATGTCGAGTCCATTCTGTCATTTTCATCACTCTCTCTCTCTGTTTTTCCATGGCTTTCCTCTCCATTCCCATCTTCCACCTTTGCCTGCTGCTCTGTCTAGATCTGCCGTCTTGCATGGCATGTCGGAAGATGCAATTGAGCCCTGCACCCCTGTCACGGTGCTGAGCGCTGCTAGGAGGGAGTCTAGTAAGAAACCAGTAAGGCAGAGGCCCCGGAGGCGGAGAAGGGCCTCCGAGAGACCTGTGCGTGCAGAAGAGCAAGCCAAGGCCAGAAGAAGCGATTTTCACCTCCAGACCTCAAGCCCCAGATGGAGGGAACTTGGCACAGATTCTGCAGGCTCATCTACCTCAGATGACAGTGAGTGGATTCAGGCAAAAAGAAGAGCTCGGGTGAAATTCCGGCTGTCGAGAAGAAGACGGAGAAATCATAACGAAGCCTGTGGAAACATGGACGGGCCTCCTGCTAACGGGATCGAGCTTGGTGATGTGGGAACCAAAGGCGAAAAGGAACAAGAGCTGGTGGGGTGTGCGAGTTGCTCTTCAAGTCTACACAGAAGAAAAGCCCCTGGGTACCAAGGGTGCCGTCCCTCACTGCCTAAAAGATCCTTTGAGATGAAGAGCTCCTCAAGGAGCCATGAAGAAAGCCCAGGTAGATACCGCTGCAGAGATCCCCAGCTCGAGCCTAGTCTTAGGAAGCATGACACAGTCAAGACGAGAGTTTCCGACACGGATTCCAACCCTGAAGTACCGGCAGCTACGGACGGCGGCCAGTGCGTGGCTGGTGCAGGGCTCCAGGTGACTAGCCCTGTTCCGAAGCCACCCACCACCTGTGATGATGGCTCTGATAATTTAGAAGTATGCAGGTCAGTCGCTGCAGAGGAAGGCTTGCTGCCGTCCAAATATATTTCGTCTCACTGTGAGTTAGGTGTGTGTTTGATGCCCTACCCTGAAAACATAGCATTTACTCATACTGGTATTTTTTTCTGATTGGATATAAAATGAGAAAATGAGAAAAGGTGGGTATGAGAAGACTCATGTAAGCACGAGCCTGGGGTGGGTTGAAAGTTAATAGAGAACAGAATTAGATTCCCCTTCCCTTCCTTGTCACTAAACGATGGCTTGCCCTGGTAGAGGGGCTGACAAACTGGTTAGGTTCTGTAGCGATGCCCATGAAGGCTGGAACAGTGAAGTGAGTGAGAGTGTGTAAAACCTCATACTGCTGAACGCACAGTTGGTGACCTGCCAGCACCCTGACAGGAAGACGTGCAAGGCTTGGGTTCTTTCAGGTCAGACTTTGGGATCAGAGAAATCTCTGCCGATGGCTCCAATTTGTTCTCCAGCTGTCTGACTCAGCAGGGCAAATCCCAGCCTGAGAGGACACAGAGACAGGTCACAGACATGTCAGTGGGCTTGCTGGAGCCTTCAGGGAAGGAGACCACAGTAACCTTGCTAATAATCACATTCTGGAAGGTGAACCTGTAGGCACTTCCTAGCTAGGAGATTGTTTGCATGCACTTTTTACCCAACAGCATGAACTTTCAAAATAACTTCACATCAAAAGAATTCTAGGAGAGCCAGGAGGTGGCATGGTGGTTAAGGTGCTGGACTTCCACATGGCTGACCATGGTTCAAGTCCCAGACCTGGTGGCTTGCTTTATCTCTCTCTCTCTCTCTCTCTCTCTCTCGTGAGTGCACATGCCCTATCAGCAGGTTTTATAATATTGAAAATATTATAGTGCATAATATTTGCATAATCTCTGACGTCTCAGGGCTTCTAGTCTAGTAGAGAAGACAGAAACAAATCAAATTACTTCACAGTGACTGGATAATGACCTTCCAGATAAGGAATATGGGTGCTTGTAATGAAGAAGCTTCACCTATTCTGGGGGGTCAGAGAAGAGCTCTCTTAAGAAAAGGACAAGCAGACTGAGGTTAAAGGAGGGCAGGAATTGAGAGACAGAAGCGAGAAGACCTCGGGGCAGAGGATACCACTAGCAGGAAGCCAGCCGCAGGGAGGAGTTGGCTGCCAGGGAACTGAAATCCCGCTGGGCAGCTGGGGTGTGGTGAGGAGGGATGGCCGGTGGTGATAAGAGTGGAGAAGTGGGGAGGGCGGAGGGATTTAGAGGAGAGCTAAAAGGAAGTAGCAGCATTTGTTTACGTGTTAATGTGCGTTTCCTATCATCTTCTGAATGGAGGTATAGGTACCTTTGCTGAAAGCTGAGGAAGGGGCTGAAGCACTCTCTCTGGTCTAGATTAAGAACTCTCCACTTACAGCTCTCTGCTGTCACCCCCGAATCTACCTTCTCACACAATTTAATGAGTCAGAGATGCTACTTTTAAGCTTGACGGTAATTGTAGAAAAATGTAATGCTTACATTGACAGTGACTGCGTTTCCTGACTTCAAAGCACTGCTCCGAGAGCATTTCCCAAGATGGGGTATTTCCCTCACATTTCTATGAATGAAGGGCTGATGGTGCTCTTTCCTGCTGTGGGTTATCATCAAAATGCACCAGTTGAGTGAATGCTAGAGGCTGCGCGTCGTGCTGCATGCTGAGGACAGAAAGTGGCCAAAGACTTGATTCCCCCCTTAACTGGCCAGTTACCTAAGTGGTAGGGACTGGATGCCCAGGGCAGCAGCACCAAGGACATTAATGTGGCTAGGGAAGACTTAGAAACTTGGGGATGATTCTGAGAGGTGGCAGGGATGCCTGGAAAGGGAATTCAACCTCCACAGAAATCACTGCTTGCGAAAGGCCTCTAAACAGGCACAGCCTGGGCAGGAACGGTGTCAGGGACAGAGGACGACCCGCCAGAGAAGCACAATTGCCCATGACCTTGAGTCCTACTGCTTCAGACGTGCAGAGGCAGAACCGGGCTCAGGCAAAACCACGAAGCAGAAGCAGCCCCTGGACCCTTCCTTCTTTGTTCCTGGCACTCGGGCCCACACAGACACGCTCCCCTCCTTCCCCTCCTCGGCCAATGTCTCCATCAGACAGTGACACGCGGAGGGAACTTGAATCTCCGTGTCGGTAGACACAATTATGTAAGGGAAAGGCTCTACTTATTTTTTAACAGAAAAAAATTCATTAAAAAGGAGCATGAATCAGATCATGCTAGCCAGTTACTGCTGCCGGCACCTGATGGCTCTCGCCTGGTTTTGGAAGTCCCTGTGTGGTCTTACCAGGTCTGCCTCTGCAGCTATGACTCATCGTGACCCATGACCTCTTCACGCTGCTCTGTTTCCAGTGCCCAGAAGTCCCCAGGCCTGTCTCTGTCAGAGCCGACCTCATATTGCCCACCTCCACCCTCTGACAGATTAATTTCTGGTGGTTCCCTCTCAATTTAAGTGTCATTTCTTTTCTTTCTTTCTTTCTTTCTTTGTTTTTCTAAAGGGAGATTTTTTGCCGTAGGACATGTGTGCTCACCAGAGAGACAGGAAGTGAGAAATCACCCCCCAGAGGTATGGTGACGCTGCAGTCCCTTCTCCATTCTCCTCTTGGAATTTTGGGCACACACACACACATGCCCAGCGTGAGTTTCAAGCCTCCAGGACTTAGTCCATGGTCATCCATGTGGGAGTCCATCACCTTAACCACTAAACCATCTGCTAGCCCCTAAATGTCATTTTTTTAGAGACATTTTCTTGACCTCCTAACACTAAGGCCTCCAGTCACTTGCACAGTGCGCACGCGTGTGTGTATGCATGTGTGCGTGCATTTTTAAGTGTATTTAGTTATCTCTTCTGAGAGAGAGAGGAGATAGAGATACCCCCAGAATCTGCACTGAAATCCACCCCAGCCTCAGTCAGCCAGACCCCCTGGCACGTGTGCGTAGCCTGCATGGGGAGCCCCCGGGAAGTGAGCCCAGCAGACCACGGAGCGCTGTACTGTCGCCCCACCACGGCGAGCTTCACAATTGCACAGGCCTGGGTGTTTTGTGCTGACCTGTGCCAGATGGGTTCACTGCCACATCCAGAGCACCTGACGCAGAGCCTGGTGGGTCGTCCAGCTCACACGTCGTTTCTGAACAAGTGGGTTCAGGAATGGCACGTATTCCTAGGCAGTAATGCTTGCTGTGCAGAATCCCAGCACCGAGTGTCAGAGGCCCCACCTGCTGGAGCGTGCCGGCGGCTCTCAGCCCTCAGTGGACGCCAGCATCCACAGATAGTGGACACTCCTTGGAGTGTATGATTCCCTTACTCTGGGGTTGGATGCAAACTGTTTCTAAAAGATCCCCTGTGATTCCAACACTTCCGAGGCAGGGAACACACTTTGAGAACCTCGGTTCTATGCTACAAATTCTCCCTGGGCTCCATGTAGGAGGAAGAGGAGGAAAAGAAGCAAGAAGGATGAGTTTGAGAAGCTGAGTTACGGATGCCCATGGTCCTCCATCACATTCCTTCGCTGCTAACTCAGAGCCTTACTGGGGTCCCCACTGCCGTGCCAGCGTCGTG